TGGATAGAAGGAGGGGCAGGGGCTGGTTCGGCCTCAAGGGTGTCAAGGAGAATGAACTCTTTGTGATGTTCGTATTCGTGTTGTTCGGAGTGGAGTATGGTAGAGAGGAGGATGGGGGGATCTTCTTTGGGGGGTGGGGTGGCCGAATGAGTGGCAGGGGGTAGGGAAGTGAGGGTGATCTTATTCTTATTCATGAGGAATGAATAAGTGTTGGCAAACCCGTCATGAAAAACTTTGCGATCAAAGAGCCAAGGTCTGCCCACGAGAATATGGCAAGCATCCATGGGTATAATGTCACACCATATCTCATCGGTGTAGCTTTTCACGATGCTTAATGAGACCAAGCTTCGTGAATCCACACGCAATCCTTTTCCGTGATTCAACCACTGGATTGTATATGGCTTAGGATGGGGTGAGGTTTTGAGCTTTAGTTTTTCAACCAACATTTTGGAAGCGACGTTGGTACAACTTCCGCTGTCTACGATCAACGTGCACACCTTCTTTTGGATGGTAAAACGGGTGTGGAAGATATTTTCCCGCTGTATTTGTTCGTCCGGGGCTGCCATACTGCTCAAAGCTCTTCGGATGACTAAGAGCTCTCCTTCATCCGCACCAATGTACTCTTCTTCTCCTAGCTCTTCTTCGGCCCATGAAGGACTGATTTCTTCTTCTTCATACTCTACGATGGCTATTATCTTTTTGTTGGGACACTCATTGGCATAGTGTCCTATCCCTTGACATCGGAAGCATTTTGGGGTTCGGGTATTAGTGGGGTTGGTTTTTGGAGGTGGCGGGTTGGATGATGAAGGGGTGGAGGTTGGTTTTGAACAGGAGTTTTGGAGAGTGGAGGGTGTTTTGGACGTGGAGGGGGGCTGTTTGGCGTAGAGAGGTGGCCGTACGAAAGAGTTTTGGCTTCTCTTTATTTGCGCTTCAACTTTAAACGCATGTTTAGTTATTTCTTCGAGGGTTTGGTATGGTTCGAGCTCCACAAAATTTGCAATATTGGTATTTAGCCCGAAAAGATATCGGACTAGGGTTTGAGAATCATCTTCTTGAAGGTCACATCTCATCAAAAGTTCTTCGAACTCCCGAAAATAGTCTTCCACAGAGCGGCTCCCTTGCCTTAGGCTTTGAAGCCTAGCAAAATTTTCTCGAACATACTGGTCCGGGAGAAACTTCTTCTTCATTAGGCTCCACATCTTGAGCCAAGTCTTTACGGGTGCCTTTCCTTCGCGTCTTCTTTTGGAGGTCAGGTTTGACCACCAAGTCGAAGCATACTTTCGTAGCTTCAAAGCAACTAATTTCACCTTCTTTTCTTCGGGGACATCCTTGAAGTCGAAGACACGTTCCACGGTTTCTAGCCATTCTAGAAACTCATCAGGATCATTCTTTCCTTCAAAGGTCGGGATGTCAACCTTGAAGTCACTAGTTCCTTTGTCACAAGAGCTTCCATTAGTGATGTTGCTAGAGTTTCCATTAGCTTGGACTTCCTCATCTAGTTCTTTATCACTTTCTTCGGGTGTGTCCAGCATTGTCATCTTCATCTTCGTAAGTTGAGCCACTTGCTTGGCTAGGTACTCAACTTGAGCCTTAAGGGCTGCATTAGAGGCTTGGAGCTCTTCATTGGACATGGTTTGAGATTGGTTTGACATGGTGAAATGAGATGGCCGAAAATAGGGAAAAGAGAAAGGGAAAGGGGAAGAGTGTTCGTGGTCCTTAGAGATGTTGAAACAACAAGCTCTGATACCAAATGATAGGCACCAACTCCAAGGTAGAGAGGCACGAATGGTAGCAAAGTAGAGGGAGGAAATTATAAGGCTATATGGGTGAGGTTTTGTGCAAGGAATGGAGGATTTTAAGGGAGGAAAGACTAGGGACGAAAATTGGCAGTGGGGGAGGAATATTTTTAGGCTTTTGTTTAAGTGGAGAAGTGGAGAGAAAGGTGATATTAAGGTGATAGAGGGGAGCAGGCCGAAAATAAGGGGGAAGAGAGGGTGAATAGCAGCTTAATATTTTCTTTGGGATAGATAAACCAAGTTGGTGTAAAAGAGATATTACACACTCTTATCCTCACTTGGGGTTCAATCTAGAATTTAATTAAGATATAACACACTTAACCAAATATCTAGAACCTAACACTCACACTTAAGGAAACCAACCTTAAGATATAGAAATTAGGATTTAAAATAACAAACACAATGGTTTATTACTTAGAAATGAAAGGGATACAATTTGCCTTCAAATGAGGCCTATGGCCGAAATAAATAACAAGGGAAAGGGGGAAATCACAAGCTTTGTTCCTTAATCAAATCACCAAAATATGACTTAAAACGATGTGCCTTAATGGAATGAAATAAGAGTGGATGGTAGTGTTTGTGGGGCTTGGGTATTTCGGCCAGTAGTAGGGGGAAGGAGTGAGGAAGCTAGGTTATGTTTTTGAGGAGATGTTTGGGGATTTGAGTGGGGGTGTGGTTCGGCCATATTAGGGGACAAAGGAGTGTGAGGTATATTGGCTACTTTGGTTTGTAATGGTGGTTAAAATATGGTGGTTGTGGAGTGGAAAGGGGCGGCCCAAGGGTGGGGTAAAAAGGGGTGAGATATGGCTGTTTGTGATGGGTATACACGTCCCACATATCTCAACAAATGGGATGTTTTATTCCTGGTTTTGGAGTGTAGTTGTAGGGTTTAATTGGTGGTTAAAATGGGTGATGTGTATGCTGTTTGGGTAGGGGACAAAGGGGTCCATATGTTGGGGTTTATTATGGGAATGATATGGGTTGTTTTGGCTCTTGTGTTTCGGCCACACTTGAAGGGAAAGAGGTGAAATATTTGTGGGTCATTTTGATGAGTTTAATGGGATGTGTTTTTGATGAGAAAGGGTGGGGGTAAGGGGGGTACGGCCTGGGCAAAAAAGGAAGAAAGAAAATGGGTTGTTTGGGTTTATTTTAGGGTAAGGACAAGCCCAAGGAAATTATGGTTAAGGGTTTGGGTTTAGGAGGGGTAAATTCATTCCAAAAAGGATCGTAAGATTTAGTCATTAATCCGGTAATTTGTTTAAGGACTTTCGTAGGTACCGGGGGTATATCAGGACACCCTTTTAAATCGGTTATTCCTAATAACCGATGCAAATACTTCTTTGCACCGGTTATTAGGAATAACTGGTTTAAAAGAGACTGTTAAATCCAGCTTCTGATACGTTATCCTTACGCAATTTTAAAAAGAATCTCTTCGCACAAAAAAACAACTGAAGCAACCTGAACGGTGCAACATTGTGGCCACACCAGATTGTCACCGAACAAGATCAGTATCCATCTTGAGGACAAGATGGTTTTCTAAGGAGTGAGAATGTTATGAATGGTGAATTAGATTATTTAACTATTTGTTGGTTAATATTCATTTATTAGTTAAAATTTATTATTTCTTATAGTATAATTTTTATTAGATGAACAAAATTGTAATTTTTATTAGATGAGGGTTGTCTCTATCTCTTATAAATAGATCAGTATGTAACTCCATTCAAAATAATCAATCAATGAAGAATAATATCAAGCCCTTCTTCTTCCTCTCTTTTTTGGGAGTCAAAAAACACTCAAAGTTTTCTTCTCTCTCTTTACCCTCCCTTTTCTAAGCTTGGAGACGCTTGAAGTTCTTTACTATCCAATACGATATTCATATCAGAGTATATAAGTCACATCATTAAAACTTCAATCATTTATATCAGTATTAAAGTCCACTCTTATCAAATGTTCAAAGCCTATTTTAGGCGAAGACCAATTCAGACAAACTCAGAACTAGGAGTCATGAACTTTCCCCTATAAAACAAAGGTCACACTCAAACCGATGAAGGAGTTCACGATCAAGTGGATGGAATATTTTTAAACTTTGGAACAACAATTCTTAGATTATCTTACATACATTTTTACTTGAAGTCATTTGACACTCACGTCCACAAGGCCCTACAACATGTTGGTGCGATTTCTACCTTGTAGAGTTCTTTTAGGTAGTCTTAATCATTTCTTTAGTAATATTTTTGTTTATTTATGATTAGGGGCATATGTATCATTATACTATACATTTTTTTAATAGTCTAAAAATATAAAAAATTATAGTAAATTTAAAGTGTACCCCCAGTGAAAAAACAATTATGCCCCAACAGAAAACATCAATCCCAAAAGAAATGAAATTATATAAATAGAATATAAAGATAAAGTATTTGTAATATTATAGTTATATTAAATATGGTCACTAGTGTCATGTACCCGAGGCTTCTACACTAATTTGTTGCATTAAAACGTTAAAAACTTAAAATCTCGTATTATTCATATATTTCCAAATAAGGATAAATACTAACATTAGAAAAATTACTTCACTTACTTTTAGAGAGGTAATAACCATCAAATTTATCAATGAAGCACGCAGAGGCCGCGCGGGTCACAATATGATCATGAATTTCATGGTCAAAAGAACCATTGTGATTTTAAAAATATACTCTCCGTCCCGCATAGATCTTCCCAATAACCCTTTTTCATTGTCCACAATAGATCTTCTCATTTCATTTTTTAACAATTAAAATACCACAACTACCCCCACTTACTTTATTTATTACACCTCACCCACTTCATTTAATACACTCCATCCATTTTCATTAAGGGTATTATGGTAAACTTTCACCTTTTTTCAACTCTTCTTAAAAACCACCAAAAGTCAAAATGAGAACATCTTAGGGGACAGAGGGAGGATTTTTTTAAACTTTGTTTAAAATAAATCAATTGATATCATGTTTATGTCACAATGTAATATATTTTCCATAATTTGTAGTAAAAATTTAAAAACATTAACCAAAAATATCGAAATGAGAAAGAATTATACTAGACAAAGGGAGTAACTATCTTTCATCTAATCCTCTCATCATATGGGTTCTCTATTATTAGAAGCAACAAGAAACGTATTTCCTTCCACGGAAATTCTTCAGGTTAGCTAATTATTTCCGAAACAAGAAAAGGCTGAAAAGCCATCTATTGTGACGAATTTTTTGGAGTCCCTGCCAGTAGCAGTAGCATATGAGAGAAAGCAAATCATAATTTTTCTAGCACATTGTGGCACACTGCTGGTGTTCAACCATTCAAAATTGCATCATGACTGCACGAGTGTTTGAATTCTAAACTTATTACTTGCACGTTTGTGCTGTGTCCAAATTATCTGCACAATTTACATTAGAAAGTTGAACTTAAACACATACCCCTCTGCAAAGTCATAAATAACACCATACTTGTGTAGCTCATATTACGAATTATGATGGAACTAGAAAGACACATTCGCCGGTTGCGAGAGAGCTATGGACTCTCAAAGCCAAAGATGCGGAAAACGCCTGAAAATGAGTGAAACGTGTTGAGAGAGAGAGAGAGCATGCATCCAAACTAGTAGTAGATTTATCTACTGTGGTGGCTTACCTTCATCTGCTTGATACTTGTTTTTATCATCCCCAGCATGGGCGAGCAAGTTCAACTTTGGGTTCCACTCCACACTGTTCATTGCATCACGACACGGAATCTGGTGAACTGAACGTCCTGTCTGGACACTTGACTGTTAACATGGAAAGCAATCATATTATTGAAGTCCTTGAAATCTGAAGTGTGATCTAAAAAGAGGCCCAATAGCAAGGGCAAAAGATGATTAAAGACTACTTACTATCTCAATGAATAAATCTAAACTAGCAGAGGCGAGCAATTCTCCTGTATGGTTGAAACTTATTGTCCTAACAGGCCCTCTGATGGAGAAACAAGTAGATGAGCAAACCCCATGCCAAGATGGGAAAACAGGTCGAAATCATTTGTTTTTAATACTCACTCAAGCTTTGTAAAAGTTCGAACACAGAGCATCTCTTTAATATCCCAAAGGCTGACCAAGGAATCAGCACTTCCAACAGCAAAATATCTATTTAAAATAGTAATGTTATTTATTCATATCTTGATCAGAAATTTTTTGTTAGTTCATGCATGCATTAAATCATCAACTAGTCTACTGGACAAACCTGCCAAGCGGGTCAATCGCAATGCAATAACAACCAGCTGTGTGAGCCTTAAGTGTCTGAACAAGGCGCAGAGAAGGATACGATAAAACCTCCACCGTTCCTGAACATTGCAGTGAAAAAGAGAAACATTTGAGTTACAACGTGAGCAAAACCCATACTAAACTAATGCCATGAAACTGATTGCCTGATTAGTTTTTTGATCTCACCATTCCCAGTAGTCAGAAAAAACATATCTCCAGTCAAATTCCAGGCGATCTCATTTACCTAACACCAGGGGAAATAATCACCATAGGCGGTTACTAGCTAACTTGGAGGTCATGTCAAAATGAAATACTATGATCAGAAGCTTGTTGATGGAGAGTAGTAGAACAAGCATAATGGGTCGTGCAATTATTTTGATAGCACAAAACATGCATTGATATCTTTGATGGACTTAAAGAGTGCAATTTTTGTTCCCACAAGTTTCCACCACAAGATGATGGAAAACATATGCAGACAAGAACAGCTAATGAATGCCATAAAATATTAATAATCAGAAATGTGAAGTTAGCTTCCATCATCTTCGATGGACTCAGAGATTCACTATTTTTTGGCTTTGAGGTATGATGGAATAAAGAAGAATAACTTTTGAACTACCTGCGCTTCTTTCAGTAGTAAATTAGCAGTTGGTCAATGCAACTTTTTACGCTCATCATGAGTCATTTGGAAACAGACACTCTATGCTTTAAACATAGGGGGCATACGTCCGGCTCCCCTTACCCTGCAATGAGCGGGAGCCTTTGAGGCATTGGGGTGATATTTTTGTTGTTGGATATGTGAAGTTGATTGAGATTCAAGTCTTATTTTTATATCTTTTGTACAAGGCCTTTTATTAGTAGGCTTATAGCAAAACACAATGATGTTATGATCTCCTAAGCCATTATGTTATCATGACTTAAGTGATGATGCGAAGGTTTGCAAAGCAAACATGTGAGGTTCAATTCTAGAGACTATATCTAGTTTTTTACACTCCCCCTCATGCCCATGTACAAATCACACGCATCAAGCTTGTTGAAAAAAAANTTTGTTGTTGGATATGTGAAGTTGATTGAGATTCAAGTCTTATTTTTATATCTTTTGTACAAGGCCTTTTATTAGTAGGCTTATAGCAAAACACAATGATGTTATGATCTCCTAAGCCATTATGTTATCATGACTTAAGTGATGATGCGAAGGTTTGCAAAGCAAACATGTGAGGTTCAATTCTAGAGACTATATCTAGTTTTTTACACTCCCCCTCATGCCCATGTACAAATCACACGCATCAAGCTTGTTGAAAAAAAATATTTTATCCTGGGACCTCTAAGATGCTTGTCAAGGTGTGTGAGTTGATTGAATCTGAGACATAGCTAGTGACGATGTGTCAAGATATAATCTTCTCTCATAAACAGGCAATCCACTTCAAGGTGCTTAGTCGTCTAGTGGTATACTGGATTTGGTGTGATATTGTTGCATTATTGCCACACATTAGTTCCATACTTCAACTCCTAGAGGAGATATTTTATCCATATGGTCTCGCATTCAGCAAGATTCATTGCACAATATTTCGCTTCAACACCTAATCTGGCAACCTCACGTCTTGCTTCTTCAGCTTCCAAGACAATAAGTTTTAACCAATAAAGATACCATACCCAGAAGTGGATCGTTTTTCTATAGGACAGCCGGTCAAGTCAGCATCAGAGCAGTGAATAAAAACAATTAGGCATCCTCTAGGTGGTAGACTGAAACCTAGCACCGCAGTCTTAAGCAAAGATTGATCGGGGCCTATGTGGTCTTAGGTAGGAATAAGTCGTAGGTGGCTAAGGATGCCTAGTGACTAAGCGGCATAGATGGTCACCTCTTCTCGTCTAAAACACCACAGGCGATGAGGTGAAGGTCTACCGCTTGGAGAGACGCAAGGTGGGTGAAATTCAAATTGAGGCTTCCAGGTGTTTGCCTTGCATGCCTGACTTCTGGGCAAGAGGCGTTCGCCTTTGACGCGTGTATGTGATATATATGAGGGTAGCTTTCCAAGTCTCGAGATTGGTTGGTGAATAAGGCTCTTAATGTCAAAGTGGCTATGAAACATTTCGGGTTGGATCTTTAGACCCAAAAATGCCCAAAATTCTCATTCTTACAGTTTTGACTTAATTTTCCTTATTTGGTAAAATAAACGCGAAGGACTAATTGTCCTCTTATTTGGCATTTTCTACATATATCATTAATAAACTAAATCAATCTCTTCTCAATACCCTTGGCCCAAAAATTCTGATCAGTGAGGGCTACAATATTCATGCTATATTGGCTTCAAATAGACTCCTAAATTAATACTTGGAAAATCCTAATTATTCTTGGACGAAATAGACAAAGAAGAAAGCATCCAATATGACATTTGAAATGAAGAGGAAGCCAACCTGGCAAATAGTTAAATCAATAGAGACAATACACTGTTCAACAGTGAATTGGCAAGGGTCTTTTGACAAGGAATTTCCTTCCCTATGATGAGCTTAGAGCTTAGCCGAAAATGCAACAGTGAAAAGGAAGAAATCCATCATTAATGTCTTGAGTGAATAATAATTTGTCTCTATAATATTATTTCTTGAATGATAGTACCCTTTCTGTATTTCTAAGCGTAGTGGCTGAATTTTTTTGTGGAAAATTAAAATTTGGCCGAATTTTTTTGTTTTCATAACCCATCATTAAGATGACTGGGAATGTTGCATTATAAAAAGGAGTTGATACTTGGAATAAATCAGAAAATGATTTGAGAAATATAAGAGTTTGCTCTTTGAGTGAACCTTGATTTTGAGTGTTCAATTTATATTCCCTTCCTAATCTTTTTTGAAAGCCAAAACAGCATTGCATTGCTTTAAATCAAATGGGAAACAAAGTCAGGGGTGCCTCCCAAACACCACTACGAGACATAGTACTACACGTGAGCGTGTGAGCAGCAGCATTACGCTCACAAACAATGAACGAAAACAAAACAAAATCAAAAGATAAAACCAGTTGCTTACAATCATCAATAAAAGATTTAAGATCCAAAATAAGATTCCAAGCTTCAGGAGTCACCTTGTCACAAAAACGTTGACTACCTGCAAATTGTCAAAGCATACCTCCACCAGCCGTACCTGTCGGCCCTTCAACAGAGAAACCCCTCTTAAAAACCACACTTCTGCTAACAGCAGATCAAATGGGCAATCCATAACTGAACAACACAGCCCCCATTGCAACATCACCCGACAGAATAAAGAAGGCCGCATAAAAGAACATCTCAGCCCACCGTGCCTACCCAAACATAATAAAAGCATCCACCTGCAGGTCTAGATCACTAACACCCAGTGGCAATATGGATGCCATGGACAGAGTTCTCCCAATTGGGAGCCAGGGAGAACCTCAAACCAAAGTGTCTTTTCCGTTACAAATACACAGACCAACCCCTTCCTTGAGAAGGTCCTAAGCCGCCAGGATACTCCCCCAACAATAGCTCGGGTAACGCCCTAACGTGGCTTGAGGAAACGAGGTTTTCGGAAAACACCTGGTCTTAAGAGTGAGTAATATCTCTTATAGTCTTATATTTCAACGTAGTACAATCATTCTTCCTACCTATTTTCTGAAATCTTACCTCCATTTAGTCCTTCAAATACTGCTTCTTCTTTTTTTCGTAGGCAAATATATATAAGTAGGTTGGACCGAACAATAAACAACGAGGGATGAAAAGTATAAATACCCAAGCCCTGATTGACAAAACATGGGCATATGTCACCCATCTTAACGAAAAACGAATTGGACCAATTCTAGAAACTATGTCTACTCTTCCATAGGAAATATTAACAGGTCCAGTGCTAAGAAAAATAAACCCATTGTAATCATGTTGGATACCCCCTTCACAACTCCATCTATGAAATAAAATAACTCATACAAAGTTGTCATGTAATCAAATTTTAAGAAATTTTCACATGGTGCAAGTAGCAAAAAACATATGGAGTACCTCATAGTTGAACTTGCGCTTGTGTATAGCTTTGAATTTGCGGACATCCAATATTGTAAGTTCATCTTCCTGCAACATAACTTAACAATAATAATTTACCGTACCGAAAAGCTGGCCATATATATTGCATGGATAAATTACTATTCAGTTGTGCATACAGGTAAAAACACTAAATGTGAATCTATAGACAAATACTACGGAGTATGTCTAACTTGAGTGTGAAGATCACACTAACAAGCTGAAGATAAAATATAGAAAAAAATATTACCCTGTTGCCAACAGCTATATGTGTACCATCAGGTTTATAAGTGATATTTATATTTTCCCCACTTAATTCAACTTGTTGAGAACATTTGCCACCTGTCAATCACATACCAAGTATGAGTGAGCATCTCACATAAATCTCTGCATAAAGTGGGAAAAATTGTTTTATTTCAGAGTTCCATGGTCGTTGAAATCGTGAATTCGTAATTTGCTTCATAGAATAGCACGATTCTACGAGTACTATACATGATATAGATCGTTGCTCGAATTGGAAAATTCTTGGATATGATCGGGCACAAAAGCGTTGTTTGGTCCATGTAGCCGACCCCACCTAGTGGGATAGGGCTTTTGTTGTTGTTGTTGTTTTCGTTGTCTGGGATCGTCGAATCGAACAGTAGAATTGTTGGATTGTGGATCGTTTCGATCTAAAAGATCTGGTTTTATTAAAAAAATCTAAAGAAACTTCAAATTTCCATCTCCTGAGGCTTTTGAAGCCACAGACGGCTCGCTAATATTTCCGTCTCCTGAGGCATTCAACGTTGCAGACGGTCGCTGATTGAATTTATGAAGAAAAAATCAAATTTTGAAAAGAGTCACATCTTTATGTCTCCTGCAGCGTGTGGCATTTAAAGTCTATAAAGTCTCCAACAATTTCTTCTTGATATATGCTTCCCTGATCGTGCCTTATATATTTTTTTTTTAATTTTTCATGCATCGAGAAGATTTGTAGAGTACTATTAATACTGTTCAAAATTCGTAGTGCAGCGACAAGTTCTCTACAAATCTTCTTGATGCATGAAGAATTAAGAATACATATAAGGCTACCATCAGGGAAGCACATCAAGGCGAGATTGTTGAGATTGGAATCCTAATATTCTGAGTTCTTCCTCAGTTACCACTTAGTCTGTATTTCCTTTCAAGCATTTGTTAACTCCAATATTAAGGTTGCAAAGTTATTTCCTTCCCTTGTTGGTTTGGTTATTTCATTTCATGGCTTGGAACCTCACTCCATCAGAAGAGGATTTCTCTGTGGAATATAGACAAGAATTAAAAAGAAACTGAAGACAGGGAAAACTGCCTAAATTTCCAGTCCTTTCTGCTTATCCTCTTATAATTTATTTCTGTGGTTCAAAGAATCACAGGTCTGCATGCTGGGAGGCATTTTGGAAACAGCCTCACTACCTCTCAAGGTAGGGGTAACTGGTAAAGTATGTGTACACCCACCCACCCTTGACCCCATTCATGGGATTTTACTGGGTTCTTATTGACGCAAAGAATCCTGATTAGTAACAGTTATCATGTATCAATTAATAACAATTGATTTCAGTTCTTTTGTAGTGACGAAATGAGATAATTATACATCCTGAAATCAGTCATGCCTGAATTCCAGACCATGAACATCTGTTAGTGTGCAAGCAGTTGAATTACTTACTGCGAGCATCCCACAATCGAACTGTCTTGTCAAGTGATGCTGTTGCAATTAAATCAGCATGCTTAGGGTCCCAACATAATTGATCAACACTGTCAGTATGGCCTTTTAATTCAATATCCTTTGCCTTGGCCTGCAAAATTACTTCGAGTAACTACGAGAGTATGAATAGGGAATAGAAAACATACTTGATTGTAGGCTCATACCACACAAATAAATACTTCACTTTTAGAAAATAAGATAATTTATAGCATGTATTTTATTCCTCAAGTACCAAAATATGCAAGATGAGACCCTTCCCGTGACTCTTGCCAAGCTGGGACACACTTTGTGCACCAGGTTGTCCTCTTAATCACCAAGTATTAGGAGAAATACAAGTCAATGATACTAGTGTTGGAAAGCAAATAGGAAACTGAAAATGAAAACCATTTGTTTAATTTACTTTGTCAATCCTCTTTTGTATCAGACTACCAGTTGATTCTAATGCTGCTGGCAAATCTATTTATAGGTATTAAATGAACGGGATATACTGGGTATGATATTATTGTTATTCCTTATATTCAGAATCTATCAATTTGGTATCAGAGCCTTGTTTGAGATGGTAGATAGAGATTCTAATCTTATTAATCCGACGGCTCCTTCCGTCAGTATGCCTGTTCCTTTGGCTATCACCGCTGCCCATCCAGAAACTTTGGACATCTTGGCCAACAATGTTGCGGATTTTGAAGGCTTCAGATAGTGCTAAGCTTGACAAAGGCAAGTAACTCTCACGCAGATGATAGCAATGAGGAGTCAAAATCATATCGACGGGTTCCGGGGCAACAATACATCGAATTTAAGTTTCCCAAGTTTAGGGAAGGTGACCGAAGAGGGTGGACACTCTCAAGGATGAAGGAGCATCCATGCACCTTGACCGTAAAGGGTGGATACTCAAGGATGATGCTTGCCATGTATGTTCGCCTCGCCATACGACTTGAGGAGTTGTGCTTCCAGGAATAGAGTATTAATAGGGTTCGTGGTAAGAATAACTACCAACTAACTCATATAGAAAAAGAGCAAGGTTCCCATGACATTGCCCGGCAATGTCATGGGAACCTTGGTGATAGAGAAAAGATGGGAAGAGGAGATTGTTGGAGACATATTGTTCATTTTTAGGAACTTGAAATATATGGAAAACTAGATTTTATTTACTTAAATTATACTCCCTCCATCCCTGAGTATTTGTCCACTTTTGACTTTTTTCGGTTAAAACTCGTAAACTTTGACCTCAAATTAAATAAAAATAACATTAGATATTGATACAAAAATAGTTTTATTAGATATATTATTTCAAATATTTTCAAAATATTATCTTACCTAATTAATAGATAATATATATTTTATTTAATTATAAGTAAATGGTTGAAAATAGTTGACAGAGAAAAGTCAAAATTGGACAAATATTCAGGGACGGAGGTAGTAGTAACTAAATGAGTGGGGACGTAGTGGTTGCGCGAACCACTCACTTTATTACTGTTGTGGCATGATTGTAAGGATATTTTCCTAGAATTACTCATTTAATTTTTGTACAACAAGAAAGCCTTGTCCCACTAGGTGAGGTCGACTACATGGATCAAACGACGCCGTTGCGTCCTATCATGTACCATATCTGCAGTGAGATCATTCACGCGAAAGTCCCCCCCTTGACCATTTTATGTCAAGTCTTCTTAGGTCTACCTCTTCCTCTAGCCACATGTCTATTCACCATTTGATCAACCCTTCTCACCGAATGCTCTATTGGTCTTCTCTTCACAAGTCCAAACCACCTAAGATGAATTTCCACCATCTTTTCTACAATAGGTGTCACTCCATCTTTAGTTCTCATATCTTCATTCCTTACTCTATCCATACATGTATGATTGCTCATCCATCGAAATATCTTCATTTCGGCCACACTAACCTTGTGTTCATGTTCATCCTTTGCTGCCCAACACTCTGTTCCATACAATATCGCTCGTCTAATAATTGTCGTACGGTAAAATTTTTCCTTTATTTTTAAACGTCCTTTTTTGTCACATATAAAGCTTGAAGCACTCCACCATTTTGATTTTTGACCAACCGGCTGGGATTATGGGCTTAACCCTAATCCAGTTGTCCATACTCCATCCTAAATTCTATCATGGTAGAGCCATAAAATGAGCATATTTGGAAAGATGATCAAACACCATCAGGATGAAAAACGATCCATTACACTGATGTATACGGCTATACGCTTTTAAATTCTCTGGGTTAAGTAGCAATTGGTAAGTTCAAATATCATTAACATTGGTAAATTTTAATCATTTTTATATTGAAATTTATATAGTAAGCATCATGCACTCGGTTATCCCTCCTATTTGCTGCACTGATATACTCGTACCATTCTAAGGGCTGGTTGCTATGCTCCACTGTACATAAACCATAACACTCGCTTCGAAAGGCATGATAGAATATCAAATGCATAGAGAAAAAACAAAGGAACTATTGATAATAGAAATTGAAAGCTCAAGACTTTTAAAATATGGAGAATAGAACATGAGTTTTACCATGAAGTTAGAGGAGGGGTGATAGAACAAAGAATATAGAAAAAAATTAAGTATTACAAAACAAGGATCAGGTTATGTCATGGAAATCGACTGATCAACAATTGAAACTAGTCATCTTTTGTGACATTTCTTTGAGCACAAAGCCACAAACAAGTTAAAAAATTTGTCTATCATTTTGTTATAGTTGGAGAAGTACATGATAAGGAACTACAAAAGTACTTGGTGAGCAGTGATAAAGAAGGATACGACATAAATGTCATGACATAATCAAGAACATCCGAATATGCAACTAGAAATGAAGGAAAGTGTTAGAAGTTAGAACTTGTTGCTTTCCTTATCACAATTTTGCTAAACCAAAAACCCACTCTAAACCACTTCACATTCACAATCATCATGAATTAGTTAAACCACACCTAGCCAAGGTGAGATAACATAATGTATTTCGTATGCAAATGATATGGTGTTTGTTCATGTATCCAAAAAGGGATTGTTGTAAAGTTAGAATCGTAATGGCGTGTGATAATTCAAAGTGAAACTAAGTATAGGAAGAAAATTAAGCACCATTAAACATAAACATCAAAGTGGGTGA